GAATTCCTTCCAAATCCTTGCGATTCCGGATCCGTCCGATATCCGGAATCAGATGCAGTTATAAGCCTCAGCCGATGAGGGTGATACCACGGCTGAGCGATTCCGGAATCGATAGGATCTGTTGTAAATGATTCCAGAATCGGATTGTGGAGTGGTTGAATTTAGTTCCGGAATCGGAGGAGTAGATTTCTGGACGGGAACTGATTCCAGAATGTTCAACATCGCGGAATGGGATGTATGTTCTCGTGAACTTGTTTGAATAAGTTCAAGTCAAGCTCTACATAAATCTACTCTGAAATTGCATACTTCAGTCTTTTTTAATAATATACTTTGTTTGTAATTAATGAATATGAAGATGACCGTCGGGATGCGATAATTCGATGATAGCTCAAGTTTTAGAGCACTTCATGATCAAGAAAAGACATGAGGCTGTGTTGAGTATAGACAATACAATGAGTATCGGAATGGAGATCTTTTGGAGTGCATGGATACAAGATTACTCTGTGGTTATGTACTCAGCCAAGGATAGAAGCAAATAAATCGTGGATGAATTGATAGACATCGTTTACCTTTTGAAGAAAAGAAAATTCGGAATGTGAAACTATCAAAGTACTTCAAATGAAAGTTTATTTAGTGTTGTCTACAGGTATATTTTAAAATAGTACTTTTGCATAATATTTTACGGAATTCGGTGAGTTTTCTAATCAGTACTATGTTACAACGTATTCGATTCTCTGTAGTACAAAGTTAATAAATTGAGTATTCGCTGGAAACTGAAGATTGGCATTAGTGTCGATGATGCCTTCTCAAGTAGTTAAGGTTTACAATGATAGTCATATTGAGCAAATATAAATCTTACTGATGTATTCTGTTCGATTTCTAAGTTATTCTGTAAGACAGTTTAATATACCTATGGAATTTTTATATTGACTATGAACTATGATATTCGACAGTGTTTCAAATTCCTTTATGCCTGATGACTTTCACGAAATATTGAACACTTACCGACAAACTAGAATATATTGTATAACTTAAAAAAGCTAGTCACAATTGGTGTTTACCATCTGACAAGATGTTATTACCAACAACATGAAAGAGTAAAAAATGACTGACTGCATCAGTTTGCAGCATGAAAAGATTCATTCGCTGTTTTCTTCTGTTTTTTTTTCTTGGCTGGCAAAACAATTGCACCATACTTGAAAATTTTGTTTATTCTTATATCAACAAACGGTCGGAAGTAGTAGAAAACAGAAATGGTGGAAGACGAAGTCAGTTGCTTAGTATTTTTAATGAACAAAAGTAGATGAAAGACAAATATTTGATTTGAGTCAATATTTTTCGCTGTCTTATTCATTGCAACACCGTATGATGTTTAAATTTGCTTTCGAATAAAAACACTACTATTTTATGCGACTGAACGGGAAAGAATCTGTAATATACGTCGAACATTGCTTTTAGAAATGGATGTTGACTGTGTTTCTACAATTAGACAATCCTTGGTATTATTATCATGCAATTTTTACATGTTTCTCAAAGGATACATCTGAAAACTAAATCACTATAACAAAGGAATTCAGTTTTTCTGAATCCTGAAATTATGGGGCGACTGTTTCTCTAGAGGTACACAAGATCCATTACTTCTGATCTCTTCAAGATTCACAACCATATCTGCAGTCTCACCAATATAGCAAATTCTTAGAATCGTACCTACACCCACATCCACACCCACTCAAACTGGTACCATTCGATTAAGGATGAAAAATTGCACGTAACCCAAGTGGTTTTAGAAATAACCCAACTAATATATCGAATCCGGACAAAAAAAGCCGAATATGGTGCTAACTTTTCCGACATCCCTCATTCTTACCCTCACCCTCTTTTTTTTCTCTATATTGCTAGGAATGATTAATTTTTACCAATGAATTTAATATTGGATAACAGAAATTTAATTAATCAACGTCAAGTTCTAGGAATATTGACGCTCAGTATAATATAAGATTTTTTCTTCAATTTTTTTTTTTGCATTAAATATTTTCTCTCTATAAAAAAGCAAGTAATTAAGAGATTCAATAGTAGTGTTTCTACTACTTAGAAGAAAGAAGTGCGTCTGTCAAACAAAACGATATACAGCATATAACTTGGAATTTATAAGAAGGATATCGTCAACTGCCATAGTGTATGATATTCGAAAAACATGGGAGGTATGTGTCATCTTTATTTGTCATTCGAAAGGACAATCATAAGATTACATTTGTCTAGTGAAAATGTGAAAACATGCCAGATTATAATTAGTTTTTTCAGATTAGTTTTCATTAAACCAAATTTATACTTCTTTTGGAGGATTGCAGTTAATTATAATCTTGATTTTGTTGTGCAATAATTCGATTATAATCTGAACTTTTTTTACATTTTTCACTGAATAAAAGTTTGATCTGATTATTGTTACTGGAATTTTGTTCGGTTCGTCTGTTAAAGATATTTGACTAATCATCGAACTTCTTATCGTTTTTATAAAATCAACATAGCTTAGTAATAGATCTTATTCAAAAGAAAAATTTTATTTTTAGACGCCATACTAAACACATTATTCAATAACATAAGTCAAAAAATAATATATAGGTTTTTCAAGGTTTTTTTCCTAATATTTTTATATGTCAATATTATCTTGTTGTTCAGTTATTTTTTCAAATATTAGAAGTAATCGATCAAATTTGACTTGATGTCTAGTATAATGACAAACTTTTTATAATATATGCTGACTAATAAGTGTAAGAGCAATACTTGACAACGATTGCATCGGAATTCTTTTTTTGCAATAGAAATTCTTTTAAAAAAATTATCTGTGATAATAATATGGTATTTTGTTTGATATTTATTCGATTATTTTAGGGTATATATTAATGATGATCAGTTTCATTTTTGTTTTCTACTGTCAATTCAGACTGGTTTACAGTCAATTTAATTTATATAATACAGATAGAAATTCAATGATGAGTACATTTGGTTATGATTGTTTATATTATCATAAAACGATTATGTTTCCTGCGTCAATTTTAATCTCATTCTGTCGCCGTCCAGAGCTTGTTGAACAATCAAATGATGTGGACATGTTATGTTATGGACAAATGATAACATTTAAAGAATTAAAAATCAATAATGTCAGTATAAGTCATTTATTTTATTGGAATGCTGCAATGGAAATTATTGATTTATATGAAAAATATCTAATATTTCCTAATCTTGTTAATGAGAATGAATTTTATTGTAATTGTTCTCTTTTATCACGATTTGGAAAATTTTGTCAATATGATATAAATGAAGATTTTGATCGGGGACGAAGTTTAAATAGTCTATTAAGTAGTTTCGATCTTACCCTTTTAAAGAACATAGTGGAAAATCGTTATTTTACATGTTATATTGGTATTCAATGTCATACTAATCTGTTTTGTTTGGATTGGAGACAAATTTGTAATGGAGTTGTTGATTGTGATTTTGGAGAAGATGAACCAGTTGAACTTTGCTTACAAATGGAATTAAATTCTTGTGATCCTGAAACAGAATTTCGATGTGAAACTGGATTATGTGTTCCCAGAGTCAAGACGCTTAGTGCTCTAGTGGTACTATGTCCTGATCAAAGTGACGCAGATATAGGAGTGCGCATGTGGCTAGGACATCTTTCATCCAGAACATGTCTTTTCTATCCATCTTATGAATGTGATGAATTGAATCGTGGATGGAAACAATTCTCTTGTAATAATGGTCAATTTATTCCATATTCATATTTAACATCAAAAATCCCAATAATATTTCAAAGATGTATTAATAGTTATCATTTAATGTATTTACAACGATTGTTTTTTGTACCAAATAAAAATCCATGTTGGATATCAATGATTTGTTTAGCTGATTTTGATTATTTATATCCTGATGTCAAATGTTTTAATGAAATAATTCTCAATAATATTGAACAATATTGTCCAAATGAATATTATTTTCCATTAAATTCAGTTGTTTATTCCTATGTTTACTTTTTATATGATAAATTAAATCGTACCAATTGGTTGGATTATACAGGCCCAAATTATATTTGTTATAAAAAAGAATATTGTCCAAATCTTATTTGGAATTTTTCAGCAATAATAAAAAATAATTTAACATGTTTTTCTATTGATCAAAAAATCTTTTCATGGAAGAACTTTTATGAATATGTTATTTATTTATTTAGTCCATGTTATTGGAATTCTTCTCTATTGACTAATATGAATGATAAAATGTTGTATAAATGTGATTTAAGTAATACATTTATTTCAATTTATCGTGTCAAAGATAAGAAACAAGATTGCTTTTTTAATGATGATGAAAATCCAAATATAGATTTATGTTTATTAAATACAAATGATCAATTGAAATGTTTAACTAATGAAAATGAATGTACAAGAGAAATCTTTATAAATGATAATCAAAATGATTGTTTAGATGAGTCAGATGAATATTTTGAATATGATGAATTTCAATGGCAAAACGAATTTATGCGTTTGTCTACTTCAAAAAAAAAGGATTTTACTGCAATTTATCGTTTTCAGGAACTTTGTGATGGTATTGTGAATTATCATCTATTTTCTAAAGAATCAAATGAAACCGATGAAGCTGATTGTGAATATTGGCCATTGTCATGTAATTCATATTATACAAAATGTGATAGTATATGGAATTGTGAAAATGGTCATGATGAAATTGCCTGTGATGATCCATATATTCTTGCTCCAAAAATACATAAAAAATTTTCTTGTAAATCAAATGAACATTATTGTATTAAATTAATTAATAATAATAACGATATAAATATCACTTGTATAAATTTAAATCAAAGTGGCGATGGAATTATTGATTGTATTGGTGGAACAGATGAACAATTAACAAATATTTGTGTGGAAAAATATCCAACTGATCGTAAAAGACGTTTTTATTGTATGAATAGTAGTTTATGTATTCGACCAGATCAAGTGTGTGATACAATTATTGATTGTCCTTTTGAAGATGATGAACGTGTATGTCCATGGTTATTTAAAAGCAATTTATCACAATTTTATTGTAACAATTCTTTAACTCATTTTGATACTAGATGTGGTTTGCAAGAACCGGGCGATAACGATTGTCAAATGAACGAACATATATGGTTTTGTGATCTTTCAACTGTAAGATTCGTACATGCTGATGAAACTTCAATGTCATTTGAAAGATATCCTCCAAAATGTCAAATTATCGAATCAAACTCGATTAAAAATTTAGATTCTAAACAATTATTAAAATCTAGTAAAAGATCATCACCATTCAAAATGACTATCAGTAGTATTGTATCATTATGTAATTATGGTTATCCAGTTCGTTCATCAGTATTAAATAATAGTTTCTTTTGTTTTTGTCCACCATCCTATTATGGTGATTATTGTCAATATCAATCTGAACGTTTAACTGTTAAGCTGCTGGTACAACCACGTTATTATATGAATCCTTTAACAGTATTTCGTCTATTTATTTACTTATTAGATGAAAATAATCGAATTCAATCACATGATGAATTTATTTACAATCACAAAGGATATAATATTATCGCATCACGTATGATTTATTTAATGTATGAAAGATATGTTAATCTTTCATTAAAACAACGAACAAAATCGAAATTTGTTCGTCTTGATTCTTATATAATCAAACCAAACAATATTCAATATATATCAAGTTGGCTTTTTAATGTTTCTTTTCCATTTTTACCAGTTAATAGATTAGTTATAAATATATTTCTTCTTAGTGAATCATTTCGAATAGTATATTGTAAAAAACGATGTGGTTTACATGGAAAATGTATGCATTATGTCAATGCTAAACATATTGAATATTGTTGGTGTAATCAAGGTTGGTTTGGTGAAATGTGTCATTTAAAATCTTCGTCAAATTTATGTCATTCAACATCATGTGCTCCTCATTCTCAATGTATAATTTTAGATGATGAGAAAAAACAAATTAAATGTATATGTCCATTAGGAAAATCTGGTGATCAATGTTATATTACTCACAATGCTTGTTTTAATATTCAATGTGGAAATGATCAAACTTGTTTGCCATTCGATCAACGGGATCTTGAATATGCTTGTATTTGCAGAAATGACAGTAATAAAAATGCTTGTGGAACTCGTGAAAACACCTGGAACGTATCTATTGATACAAATTTAACTGATTTATCTACAATACCTGCCATATTTATTACACTTGGTGAGATATTCAAATATCAATTTAGTGAATCAAGCCGCAAATTATACAAAGATATTGTATTACCAACTACTTTAGAAATCGAAGGAATAGGTTCATATGGATTTGTCCAAATGTTTCATAATTTATCAAAAAGTTTTTATTATGCAATTGCAATACGTTCGGGTGTTGATTACAAGTCTATAAACACATCTGTTATATCCAGAAATTTATGTTCAAATGTCAGTGAACTATTTAATGAAACAGTTTTATATGAATATTCATATTTGAAACGATTGAAATTATATCATTTACCTTGTCAATTAAATCACAATTTACGTTGTTTTTTTGATCAATATCGAATGTGTATTTGTACTAAAGATCATAATTCTCATTGTTTTCGCTTTTATTATGTTTATGATCAGTGTAACTATTGTCAAAATAATGGATTATGTTTAAGACAAAGTCAAAAAAACGATCCATGGATTTACACTTGTTTATGCCCAAAATGTACCTATGGTGAATTTTGTCAATTTTCATCCAGTAATTATTTTATTACATTAGAAATATTACTTGGTGCGGAAATGAAAGGAGAAAGTGTCTCATTTTATGAACAATCAACTATTATTCATATAACATTAGCTATACTTCTAATTATTCTTTTCTTTAATTTAATATTCAATACAATAAGTTTAATGATATTTTCTAATCAAAAAATTCGAGAAATTGGTTGTGATTTATATTTATTATATTTGACAATTCTTAGTGAAATTGGTTTAATATTCTTATTTTTAAGATATTTATATATGATTATTATTCAAATATATTTAATTGAGAATCTTTTATTTGTTGAAATAAGTTGTAAAATACTTGAATATTTCATACGTTTAGTTCCATCATTATTTGATTGGTTAACTGTTTGTATATCAATTGAACGTCTATATATAATGCGTAAAGGTATTCAATTTACAAGATTAAGCGCATTGAAAACTTTAAAAATTTCACGTTGGGTGATTTTAATTGTATTTTTAATGAATATTTTAACGACATTACATCGTCCGTTTTATTTAATGTTATTTCATCAAATGACTGAAGACGATGAATTTCAAGGTCATCCATGGTGTATTTTTCAGTTTAATTCAACATTTTGGAATACTTATGAAAAAATTATTAATATATGTCATTTAACTATACCATTTATATTGAATATCTTCTCAGTGATATTGTTTCTAATCTATAAAACAAAATTGGAATTCATATCATCATCTAGAAAAAAGAGAGATCCGATATTTTATATTATAAAAGAACAATTATTCAAATATATATCAGTATTAATCAGTACAATAATTATTATTATTTTAGAAATCCCACGTCTTATATTTACATTTACTTTTGTTTGTATTGATTATTCATGGCAAAGATATCTTTATTTAACTGGTTATTTTATATCATTTCTACCGTTAACTAGTATTTTATTTATTTATATAATACCATCACCAAAATATAAAAAACAATTAAAAATTATTCTAAATAAGATATTATGTTTGTGTTTATTTAAAAAAGAAAGCAGAAACTAAGAGAAATACACCGAACTTTTTTTCAATTATGTTTTTCAAATTTCATTCAAATAAACATATACCAGCAGTATGAAATTCCAAAATGACTATGATTTATTAATATTAATAGGAAATTTATATATTCTTTAAGAAAAGACAACGGTGAATTTTTGCCAATATATCGTTAAGTTATTTATTTACATACATCATCTTAAGGGTGAGGGTGAGGGTGAGGATGAGGTGAGTTCAATTTAAAAACTACCACAATCTAGGTTTCGATCCTATTTTTTCAAAGATCTCATCAGATGACTTATATGAATCTGCATGAGAAATTGGATAAATCTCTAAATTAAAAGAAATCAAATAGAACTCTTCTAATATTAATAGAAAATCAGTTAAATATAGCAGTGGATCATTTGTTATTTAGTCATCGGTCGAGAATTTGAAGGAATAAGTACGATGACGTGTTGCTTCTGATTGGAGTTTATTGCTAAGTAACATTCGGTGATGGGCATTTGATGACTTAGCTATGTTTATTTTTTTTTCAGAGTTGGATATTTTACTAAGAATTAAATTTGTTATGTCTCTATTTTCATTGTTGATTTCATTAGTGTATGGAATTCGTATGGACTGTAGTGGAGTGATGCAGACGGTGTCTATGTTGAGTTTTATTGCTGAGTAAGATGCAGGCAATTCAAACTTCGAGTAAAAATTTTTTTTTTGCCTTTCTTTTACATCATTTGATAGATTTTTAGCTGCTGATCACGAATATCTACTTTTTAACCTTAGAAAAAACTTCTTTCCGGTCGAAAAATACGAAATACTCGAGAGGTGTGGGTGGGTGTGGGGGATTGGTGTGGCTGTAGCTGTAGTATGGGTGTGGATGCAATAAGGGTGTGGGTGTGGGTGTGGGTGTGGGGTGTGAGTGTGGATGCGGGTGTGGGTGTAGAAAGAAAGAAATTCAACACCCCACACCTACACCCACACCCACCCTCTCAGCTCTGGTTATGGAAGAAATATATTTATTGCGCACTATAGATTATTTTTTCGATAATATAGCCCGCAACCTTTCATCTTAGTTGGCGGATCAGATTGGCGGGATGAGGGTGAGGGTATTGCTTCCGAAAATCACGAAATAACAAAATATTTCTAGTGTATTTTCAAATTTTTGTGTACGGGTCAAAAATGACCCTCGTTGGTAGTACGAGGATTAAGTATACAGTTGAATTGCGAAACAGCACCTCTAATATCTTAACTACTAGTTGTTTTGATTTTGATTCATGCTTAATAATGATAATGATGACTTCTTTCATTGCTACGTACAACTTCTTTCGAACGAATTCATATAATTATTCCCCTACGAGAGATGAAATCGCGATAACGATAGTTTTTCTCAGCTCTCATCCTTACTCTCAAATTTAATCGACCAAAGTTAATTCAAAATGAGATAAAAGGACAAAGAGAATAATAATTGTCTGCAATAAATTTCAAATGCAATAAAAGCAGAAATCATAAACTATGCTTTACACATACTCTTTATAACTGACTGCCCTCGAGCGATTATGTGAATAAAAGCAACAAATGTCAAAGAGGCAAACAAACGGTGGATCCACATTTTTTTCTGCATCCAAAGTATCTCCATTGACTGAAAGTAAATATGATTAGCGAAAATCGATCGTAATTCATAGAGTAGATTTCCTTGCAATTCATTGTATTTTTTCAAGGTCAACAACGAGCACCATGTCAACTGGATTGGGCTAAATCATCTTGGACAAGATGGATACAGATACCATTATTTTTGTGGGTATCACCCATTCTCTCATTGGCTAATAAACGTAATCTTATTGAAAACGATCTTAATGATCTTTCTAAGAATGATAAATGTTCAGTCGTGTTGAACAGAGTAAATCAGAATAATTCTAAATGGCCAGGTACATGGCATGTGTTCAGGAGAATATTTTATAAAGACTTTATACCGAGTATATTGCTTGTTTTTCCATTCACAATAGCTCGTATATCACAGCCATTGCTTATTCGTGAACTAACTCTTTACATTAAAGATCAATCAGGATTACCTGCTTATTCTGGTTATCTATATGCTATTGGTCTTTGTATTGCTGTAATTCTACAAGCAACCTGTCTACAACAGATGATCTTTCGAAATATACTCGCAGGAATACGAGTTCGCAATGCATTATCAACTATTATTTATCAGCACTTGTTAACTATTTATACTGCAGCTCTTCACAAGACTACTGCTGCTCAGACGATTAATTTAGTATCAAATGATGCCAATAAATTTGCAGAATTAAGTATTTTTATTCATGCTTTAGTGATAGTACCTCTGGAAGTTTTTGTAATATTTGGTCTCTTGTGGTGGAACATCGGTCTACCGACTTTATTTGGTTATGCAGTGCTGATTTCAGTAATACCAATACAGTTCATTTCCAGTGGACAATTTAGCAAATACAGAAAAGCTACAATGACATGTACGGATAAGCGTGTGCAAACGGTCAATGAACTTGTTAACGGATGTCAAATTATTAAAATGTACAATTGGGAAAAAGCCATGGAGCATCGAGTACGTGAAACACGTCGACTTGAGCTTTCAAACATTCGTAAAGCGAGCAGTTTGAGAGCTCTTAGCGTTGCTATATCCTTCGTAACATTACCTTTGGTTTCTCTTGCGACATTCGGAGGTAGTTGGCTCATGCGACACACTTTTTTGCCAGAAAATATTTTCTCAACATTAGCCTTCTTCACCATGGTCCGACTTCCGTTAACAATCACGACACCATACTTCATTGAAAAATTGAGTGAAGCTCGCATTTCCGCAAGACGAATCGATCAATTTATGCAACTCGATATGTTGTTAAACAAACGTGAGAAAGTGAAAAACGAAAATGAATAACATGCAATCATAATGGAAGATGCATCATTTTCTTGGAAAGATAGTCCGTCTTTATTTTCACTCAACCTCAAAATCAAGAAGGGTAATTTGGTTGGAGTGAGAGGTGCCATTGGTTCTGGCAAGTCAACCTTGCTAGCTGCTATTCTCGGTAAAATTAATCTTATCAGTGGAAAGCTACAACAGCAAACTAATTCGATTTCTTATGCTCCATAATCGGCATGGATATTTGCTGATACTATTCGAGGCAATATTCTTCTTGGTAAACCAATGGATGAAGAACGTTATAAGAACGTAATAAAGGCATGTTGTCTTGATATTGATCTACAAAATTTTGGTGAGGTTGGTGATTTATTGATGATTGGTGACAAAGGTGTTAGTTTGAGTGGAGGACAAAAGGCTCGAATATCGCTCGCTCGTGCACTTTACGCTGATGCTGACTTATATTTACTTGATGATCCGCTTGCTGCTGTTGATCCCAAGGTAGCAAAAAACATTTTTGATCAATCCATTGGCCCACAAAGTTTCCTTCATGGAAAGACTCGAATATTGGTGACACATCAGACACATTTTTTAGTTGAATCTGATCAAATGCTTCTTATGACCAATGTTCATATCGATGAGTTACATATTGAACAACAACCTACAATTGAGCCATCGAATGAAACATTGGAAACAGATTCATCTAATGACAAGGAAACAGATTTTGTACTGAATACTAGTATAACAGATATTAACTCAATTGTAAAAAGTGTGACGTCAGTTGAAGGTTCCATCAATTGGAATGTTTGGTTAAAACTATTTACTTCGCCACCGTTACGTTGGTATGGCTTTTTACTTATGATTATTTTAATGTTCGGGGTGGGTGTGGGTGTGGGTGGGTGGGCTAAAAGAAGGACTACATCCACCCACACCCGTCGTCCGTTTCAAAAAGCGTCTTAAAATCATTATTAGACACTTTACAATGATCTATAATCGATTGATCAGTACCTATTTCAAAAAAAGCATTTTTTTTATTCAGATTCCCTTCATCATCTAGTTCAATAATAAGTATTGTATTTGAATAAATATATATATTTTTATTTAGATTTATCTCAATGAAATATTTAGTAGTATTGAATTGAAATAAATAAATAAATAAATTCTTTTTATTTAGATTTATCTTAATAATATATGAAACAGTAAGTAATTTATTTAAATAAATACATTCATTTTTTTCCAATTAGGTTTATTTCATTGATATGTTCAATAGTAAGTATTTTCCTTAAATATATGTATTTTTTTTAGACTTTTCTCATTGAAATATTCAAAGTAAGTATTCTATTTAAGTAAATATATTTATTTTTTTTACTTAGATTTATCTCAATTAAGTATGTAACAATAAGTATTTTATTTAAATAAATTTGTTTTTTTTTATTCGAATTTATCTCATTAGTGTATACAATAGCAAGTATTTTGTTAAAATGAGTGTTTTTTTTTCATTTAAAATTCTCTCATGGAAATATTTGACAGTAAGTATTTTATTCAAATAAATCTATTTACTTTTTTATTTAGACTTATGTCAATGAAATATACAGTAGTAAGTATATATTTTGATTAAACAAATCACTTATGTTTCTTGTGTTTACGGAAGGTGAGGAGGGATGAAATATCATTCTCCTCTTCACTGAGGACAGATAGCAAAAGGTAAATAAAGTCGTAAACGAGAAAAAGCGATGTAAATGAGACACTATTTAGCGACAATACTGCCATAATACCACTCATCGTTACGCGCCGGAAACTCTCTTAAACGGCGCTGTTCACATTCCGAGGAAAAACGGTGGTCGTTTTTCGCCTTTTAGAGCAGTGATCACGTCGTTTTTTCACCGTTTTAGTCAGTTTTAAGACGTCGCTTCAGACAGTCGAAATGATCGACATGGGATGATGATCATAATGCGCTCAACGACACATTAAGAATTAGCTATTATAATATCCACTACCCACGGAAAAAAATTCTAACCAATACCGCTGTCAACCGCGATTTTTTGTAAAGACCGCCGGTTTTTCCTTATAAACCGCGATTTGATAAAAAAGACCGCAATTAACCGCGGTTAGTTACACCGCGGTCACAACTTACCGCGGTATGCTCAAACAAGGTCGCGGTTGCTTCTAACGCTGAAAACCGTGGTTCCAGAAGACCTCGGTATGTTCAAAACGAATTGCGGTATCTCAAATCGCCATTTTTGCACGGTTTTATATTTTGCGAAAACCTTCTTATAAACCGCGATTTCTGAATACCTTTGAAAGACACGATTAGTCAAACCACAATAATCGCAGTTCGAACCTCGGTTTTTCAACGCCACCTGTTCTCATAATCTGCTACCGCGGTTTTGATAGATGGAGTCGCGGTTCGATAAAATATTGCTTTTTTATTAGACAGAAACTTTCTGATTAATATTACAGTTCGACTCTATAAAGCACTCTTGTTACGACAAAAAGTTTTAAAACGCAATTACAATTACCTGATGGGACGAATCATGATATTCGGATTAGGGTTTTCATTCGTGTTAATTTAAAATAAATTTAAATTAACAGTAATTCATTTTTTAATTTTAAACTATGAAGAAAAAAAAAGTAAAATTTATTTCAAATTTAAATTACTGTTAATTTAATTTACTTATAAATAAAAGCTGGCATACCTACAACGAATAGTTCGCGAAAAGTTTTTCAAAGTCTCAAATGAGAAAAGAATTTAAAGCATCTCGCTAACCAGAAACTCACTTTTGGCTCTTCTTTAACAAACTCATTTTGATACCAAGTACGATCCTTTGGTAGATTAGCTCCTGTTTGTTGAATAAAAATTCTAATACATAGTTTTAGATAAATGTAATGTTGAAATAGAATAGTTTAATTTCTAATTTTAGAAATTACAAAATTAACATAATTTAACTTAAAAAAAACTAAATTTATTATAATAAACATTTATTTTAAATTTAAATTACTCAACTTAATTTAATGTATGAGGAAATATAAATAGACACAATTCGTTGCAATTAATGCAAATAATTATTTAAAAATATAACAATAGCACAGGAAAATTTAAAGATTTTAAAGAAATCCTCTACTTTGTTGTTTACACACTATTATCTTAGACTTTTTAATTTAAATCAGAAAGAGTATTGTATTTGATGCTTCTATGAACATCGCCATATGGTTCAACGGAATTATGGAACTGTGATTATAAGGTAAGGAGTTCGAATCTCACTTGAAGCAAAAAAATTTATGTGATCGGTGGTATTACACAGGTTGACCGCGGTATTAGATCACCGTAATGAGACCGAAGCTGCACCGCGATCCCAGCTAGTTAACAACTAGGATAGATGTCATTTTTTTTCAAAAACCGTTCAAAACCGCGGTTTCTTCAAACCGCGATTTCAGACGGTGCGTATAAACCTAATAAACGGTCTGACTCCCGCGGTTCGTTTTAACCGGTCAGAAACGCGACTCTATAAACCGCGATTAGTAGCGGTATTTGTTGAAAAATTTTTCCGTGGGTATGGTCAGTATATGGCGAAACATCCATGTTGTATGTCATTTACGTCATTTTTTGAGGATAATATTCAAATACTTTTTAAAAAAACAAACTAAATGTCTTTTTTTTGCTAAAATGTTATTCATAACGTTATTTGAGAAAATTGACTTTCTCTAGGAATATCTACTTGGAAAGATTCACTTGTAGTGTATGCGAATCAGTATAAACAAGAAAACGATGGTAGTTGATAATTTGCTTTTGCTTTTATTCTTCTCGTTGGAAGTAAATATCTTGTCTACAGCACTACCAACAATCTTAGAAACACAGAACTTAGCGCCTGGAATAAGGAGAAAATGAATTAATTCGCTTGCAGGATCAATATTATGAAACATCGATAGTTTTACTACGTTATGTTGATATTCCTTAAATACATGTACAAAATTAAACAGTAATTAATATTCATTAAAAGTTAATCTAATGTCAGATAGATCTATGTGAAAATTCAATGAATCGCATCTGGACGAGGTTAATATTTAAATTCACGTTAAATTTGAACTTGCCTATATGCAAGTGTACAAGTTCTTAAAACGATATCGGTACCATATTAACGTATGTATATCTAGTTGAATTGTGTGAAATAAAGTGGATTCCTATGGCTAGAAGAACGATATGTTGCTATCCATATGTAAGTGTTAATGAGTGACGTACTACTTATTGAGAAACATTGATACAATAAATATGTGAAAAAATTTGGGTAATAATAATCGACCGAAGTTGAAGCCGAAGGCTGAAGTGATTCTAATTCATTGATTTGTCACTATAGATGTCCCCAGATGTTAAATTTTTAAAGTAGCTAATCAAGAACTTCGGACTTCGGCTTCGGCCGACTGTCATTACCCAAAAAATTCTCTGGTTAACTCAAGGCGACCGCTCCGCACGACCTCAAATGATAGGCGCGGAGCGGTGGCGCCACTCAGAGAAACGACTTTAGGGTGGTGGCCGTCTCTTCCACTGCACAGAAGGCTAAAATCACTTTTTGTGCCATCTCTGCCTCGGTTTTTAGGCGCGGTGCACGTCTCTGACATTCTCCCACACCCACTCTTAGAATTTGATAGTGATACAATGGCATTGAAGCTAATTTTAAATCTCTGAAGGCGAAACGGATAAATGTGACACAGGGGTCGAAATGGGCCGCCCGGCCCAAGAAGACTTTTATCTCGAATCGGCCAGACCGGCCCACAAAAGCCGTTGGATCGAGCGGCCAAGTGTTTTTTTGGGCTGGTCCGAGTCGACGTTTTTATCTTTTTTTATTCTTTTTCACCTCATTTCAAGCCTTTTATAAGTGGTAGAGTTATTTAAAAAATTCCTATGGTAGAAAACTAGGAACCTTGACGGTATGGGTGTGAATGTGGATATGGTTATGGGTGTAGGTCTTATTCAAGGCAATATCTACACTAACATCCACATCCACACCCACATCAAAACCAACGATACGCACTTTTTTCAGCGAAATTTGAAAAAATGTGTTTTCTGTATTTCAGTCAAAAGTGATATCTTTTAACGGTTTTTGTAAAGTTGGTCCGTATCAATAAAAACTTCGCAGTGCTGTCTATCATATAAAAAAACAGTTGATTTGTTTTGACAAATAAAAGAGTTATAGGAATTTACTTTTCGGCGAACTTTTCGGATACCCTGTATCTTATAAAAATGACTCTAATACCTCCAAACTTGTACAGAAAATGAGGGTATAGGGTGTGGCTGGGTGTGG